CCAAATCAATATAATTTTTTTTTTATAGATGCATGACGTCCTTTACCTGTCATTTGGTATATTTTTTTGTTATATTTGATCCTTTAACTGTCCACAGGGGGGGATTTAAAATGACAACTATTTTACAAAAAATTAACTTTTTCAACTTAACTTTTGAAAATGTTCCAGAAAGTCTGACACTTTTATATATATCTTAAATTAAAGCTAATGTAATATTCTTTATTATGCAAAAAAAAAATATCGGATTTTATTTTATCTTCATGGTGAAAACAGACATCAAAATTTATAAAAAAAATACGATTTTTGTAAAAAAATTCATTTTTATATTTTTAACTTTATAATGCTATAACTTTTTGAAAGATGTATGGATCAATATAATTTTTTTTTTATAGATGCATGATGTCTTTACCTATCATTTGGTATATATTTTTTTTATATCTGACCCTTTACCTGCCCACAGGGGGGGATTTAAAATGACCACTTTTTCACAAAAAATTTACTTTTTCAACTTAAATTTTGAAAGTGTTCCGGAAAGTCTGACACTTTTATATATATCTTAAATTAAAGCTAATGTAATTTACTTTATTATGCAAAAAAAAAATTTCGGACTTTATTTTATCTTCATGGTGAAAACAGACATCAAAGTTTATAAAAAAAATACGATTTTTGTAAAAAAATTCATTTTTATATTTTTAACTTTATAATGCTATAACTTTTTGAAAGATGTATGGATCAATATAATTTTTTTTTTATAGATGCATGATGTCTTTACCTATCATTTGGTATATATTTTTTTTATATCTGACCCTTTACCTGCCCACAGGGGGGGATTTAAAATGACCACTTTTTCACAAAAAATTTACTTTTTCAACTTAACTTTTGAAAATGTTCCAGAAAGTCTGACACTTTTATATATATCTTAAATTAAAGCTAATGTAATATACATTATCATAAAAAAAAAAAAATTTACATTTTATTTTGTCTTCACGGTGAAAATAGTTACCGAATGCTATTTTTGTGTGAAAATTCTCGATTTTATTTTTTACATTTTTAACATTATAATGCTATAACTAATTGAAAAGTGTATGGATCAAAATAATTTTTTTTTGAGAAATAATATTTTTTAATATTCCCCTTTTCATTTGACATACTTTATCTTAATCAGGATATTAATAAGAAACTAGCAGATCATGTAGCTTTTGGAATAATGCATTAATTTTTTAAAATTAATCACTATCTTAAGAATTGCATTGAAGCTTTTTTTTTTATAGTGATTTTAATCACTGTCAGATATTATTATACTTGATCCAACTATGCTGCGACCCCCCTGTGCTGGGTTTTTTGTGTTGAAGATATGCTGCCTTCATACATATTTTTTACTACAACAATATACGTTTTTGGGACTCCTTTTCTTAATGTCGCTCATTTAAAAACTTTTGTTGGCACTCTATCATACACCTTTTCCGAATCTATGAACACTATACAAAGCTTTTTCTTCTTTTCCTAAATTTCTATTCACTGTTTTACACAAAATAACATCTCCATCATTGACTTTCCAGGCAAAAAAACAAACTAGTTTTTAGTTATCAATGTCTCTTTTTATTCTCTTATTTTTTATCTCAAATCTTCCATGCTATAACTTATAAGTTTTATATCTCTACAATTTCCATATTCTTGTATGTTTCCTTTGACATTAAATACGGATACAAGACATTTCATCATTGCTTTGATATTTTTCCTTCTATTAGAAATATGTTTCAACCACTTTATACTTTCATCTCTTAATTTTGTCAGACTTTTCTAGTACTTCATCAGATATTACAGTTTTTTTCTTTTCATCGCTCTCACAGCATGCTCTACCTCCTATTCACTAATTAAATTAGTCTTTTGTTCCACGAAATATTCTCGAAAACTTCTTTTGGATACTCCCCATTTAGGACTTATCAAAATACTTTTTCTATCATGTTTTCGCGTTCTCATCATTCATTGATAGCCACTTATCTATAGTTTTTAACTGATCTGTTTTAATCAGCTGTCAGACTCACTACTCATCTCATGCGATATAAATTACACCCCTACGTCAACCAGTTCATGTTAATACAACTACGATTTGAATCGACACCGCTGACAATATGTAAACTAACCTCAACAAAAATAAATCCTCTCTATGTTTTTTTTAACGTCAATGTGATGTCGCTTTTTTATTAAGAAAACTCAACGTAAAAGAACGAAGCATATTCTTTTGTTCTCTTTTTTACATATAATAAAATTACTTCAGGCGTTTATTTGATCGATGACTGTGTTTGGAGCACTGCCGGTGTCCAATTGTCTGTCCCCTCAAATGGTCTTGTTCGTCGTCACTGGCAGTATCGATTTCATCGTTTTACTTTTACAAATATCATTAGCAAGTACCTGGAAACAAGATAATTTGTTTAAAGTGGCCTGTAATGGGCGATTTACTTAGGCTGTTCAACAAAAACACTTAATACAATATTGAAAAAAATGTTTAATATCTTCAAGTTGCATATATTTTTTGATTTAATACTGGTCGATAACTACTTTAGAAATTATTCTCATTTTTATACTTAGGCAGAACGAAGAGTACGATCGAGAAATGACAAGTGATAAATACAGCAACACCACCTCCAGTCATTACTCTAAATTGTTATTAACGTCTGATATACTGACCCAACATTTGTTATCAACCTATGATTTTCTTAATTAGATTATTTTCTATGTTATAAGCTATTTGAATATGTATGCTGTCATTTCAAAAAATAAAGTTGATACCTTTATAAGAGATGATTCTAAAAAGTAATTATTAGCTGATAAATCAAGAAATATATGCAACTAAAAGAAATAAAAAATTATTTTTCTAATATTGTATGTTTTTGCAAGTAATCGAGTGGTTTATGGTAAACCGATCACTTTGTACTTATCACATTTATATTTTTTTTAGTATTGTTAATGTTTGCCAATTATGTTAAGTTATAAAAAATTTACGAAATTCATATTTTATACATGATTCAATTTCATTTTAGCTTTTTGCCTTATGAGCAAATATTTAAACTATCTTCAATAATAATAAATAATACATATATATATATATATATATATATATATATTTAAATCTGATGATAAAACCGAACGGTTCAGCAAAAGAGAGAACTAATTTAACTTTGCTCGTCAGTTATTTCATTGTCTAGTGTTTCCCCTAATAAATATATACCGAGTATGCCTAGGAGAAGGCCAATAAATTCTATTTTTCATACCCTCTCTTATTATTATCGACATGTTTATTCATATCTTCATATATCACTGCATCCTCGTCATCTGGTTGGGTTTCTTGCATTACCTCATCGATCTCCTTTCAAACACTTATTTTTTTGCGTCTTCACATTGTACAGTTAAGCATATAAACTTTCGCTATCAAGGCTCTTCCTCAAAATTCAATTTTACTACTATTATTCTACCATTTTTTAAAATTACGTCTATTATTTTTATTTTTATTTCCTTTTTTTGTTTTAATACAAAAATTTTGTTTCATGTATAATTTAAGTTTCAATATAGTTTGGAAAAAGTTACAATTCTATGCTTTTACCTGAATATTACATTAACTATATTAGTAAAGTTAAAAATTAAAAATTATTTTTCAGGTTTTTATAATGATTTGGTACTTATTAATTAATTACAGTAAAACTTCCTTACGAAGGATTCTCTCTTAGACTCAAACCTCTTTTAAATGGAAAAAATGTTATCTTTAGCGAATAGCATAAAAATAATCTATATAAGAATGTAGACCAAAATTGGAGTAAAACAAAGATAGCTTAATTTTTTTAATTGTCAAAAATAAAAAAAATTGTTATTGAATATTGAATATGTAATTACTACTTAGTAATCAAAAATTCAAGGAAATTATTATGATTTGTTACAGTTTAGCGGTACTAAATTTTATGCTAAACGAATATAGTCTATAGTTTTAAAACTATCATATTACGGAATTCTAATGAAGTAGAAATTGATAACTAATAGATAGTACGCTAGCTAGCTATTCATAAATAAGAATTATAGAGTTGATGACCTATAAAATGACTCATTTAAATTACAAAATAACGTCGTTATATTGAAAAAAATTGTTGATAAGTTATGATGGTTTTAAAAAGATATACATCTATACATGTAAGCAGCAAATAGTTTAAATAAAGATTTCATTTATTCAGTGTATCTCATTTTCCAACTCTTTAAAGTGGATAGTTGATTTGAAATACTAAGCAATGTATATCAGAAAGTATCTTTTACTTTTTTATGACACATGTCTAATAATTTTAAAAGAAATTAATTATAAATATTAACAAATAAAAAATAAATTATTCATATATATAGTTTATTTTTTATAATTATTTCAGTATAAAAATATTTTGTTCAAGTAATGAAAGCGAAAATAAACCCAATTTATATCGGTTATTTTAAACGAAATTTGGATTTGATAAATTAAATAATTTTAAATTTGGGTGTAAAATATATTATATGGTTAAAAGAGGCAACATTCAGTGGTTTATTTAAATCTATACTATAAACTATTTTTATTTACCCATCAATAATAAATGGTAGCTACATATACTGGACACTCTTCAGAAAATTTTTTTAGTTGCCAATGATAATAAATACCATAAATTTCAATGGGTTTACTTATCATAGAATTATACTCTTATAAAAACTTAAAAAAAAATAACAAATAACTAGTATCATGCAAGTACATTCTTGTAAATTAAATATATATAAATAATTTTTAAAACTTTAATTTGAATAATATGTACTACAGAACGTATTAATTTTCATAAATAAATATGGTATTGTGGGTTATTAAGTTCGAATAGGTATAGGAACATACCACAACCCCAATATTGTTACCTGTGTATTCATCATGTAGTACGTGTTGACTAGTGCGCGGGCAGTGAGTGCCGTCATCACCGATGGCTCAACTATAGGTCGGCCGGTTCGCACACCAGTCGCATCGTTGTCACGTTGCATGCCAGACGCGCTTGGTCTCAACGATTACGCCGTTTTGCACGTTGCCGGTACACGTTGTCGTTGTCGCGTGTAACTTAACCGACTTCTGTCTCTCGAGTTTCCCGCCAATTTTTATTTTTCAAAAGTTGCATTTTTTAAAATATTATTATCGGTCTTCGTCGTCACTAAAGCGCAGCTCGTTAATGAACCATGTACGACGTCGGTTGAATAATTGACAAACTAATGATAGATAGTGTACCTGTTCAGTGCTTTAGTGATCCGATCAACATTAAATATTAATAAATTATCTTCGCAGTGGTTTTTTTTAAGAGTTCTTTTTCTTTGGGATGTTTGAGTAATGCTATCAACAGCTAGAAAAATGATCAAACGTCTCTCAGTCTGCAGGAGAACTGTATTCACCCTGTTGTCGCTGCTCTCGGTCTGGTCAGTCACTCGTCCTGTTTTGGGTCAAGGTAAAATCTACGCTATTCCTTTAATTAGTTTTCAATACCGATATCTTTGTTAAGCATATTTCAAAATTAATTTCATACACATACAAGCGCGCGAATGTTTTATAATTTATTGCTTACTGGTTATAGACGAACATATAAACAATGTACACATATTATTACTGTGTATGCTGTATTAAATGTACTGAATGTGTTCGGTAGCCCCACTGTTAACCTGTCAATTTGGTCACGTCGTTGTTAAAAAAGTCACGCGATATATTCCTCCTTTTTTTCATCATAATTTTCCCTTCATTTTTTGTTGAATCATTATTATTATTTACATAACGTTAATGGAAGTCCCTAAGGGAGAACATCTACATTATTTTTGACCACTAAACCCAGTAATTACCTGTACCCATCGGAAAAACCGCAAAAATTGTATAACAGAATTAGAATGAACGTTCAAAAGCACTATCAGTGAAATTTTAATATTATTAATTTATCCACTGGACCCACCAAACCTTTTAAATACAAGCAATATAATAATTTTATAACAATATAATTTTCAACAAATGTATAGCAGCTGATTGTATTACCAGTTATGGAATTGACATTAATGAATCATTAATAACTCGTTGAACTACTTGTTGCTCTAGCTAAGTAAACTAAATTATTTAGTCGTATTCGCTAAACATTAATATTCAATAATAATATAAAAAAATATAAAACATCACGAGGTTTTCAATTGTCTTTTTTAAATCGGACGAACTGAAATGGCGCAGATATGAAACTCTGCCTAAGTGGGTGGTATTTCAGGTTGTCAAATTTATGTCTAGATATTTCAAAATATATTTCAACTTGGATAACTTGTACTGGTCTGTTGATGTGATTTTCATTAAAACTTAATTAGATAATCTTTCATAATTCATAATTTTTTATATATTTTATTTTTTTTACAAATTTTTCATAGAGATACTGGTTGTCGGTGGACGTTGACTATAATGTTAATAAAGTAAAATATGTTATATAATAATCATAATGTTTACGGTGGCTAGTTAAACGAACTTCATACTATTTTTGGAAACGCAAACACCACAATTGTAATAATGTGTGCATGTGTTAATGTAGCTAACGCATTTACCAACAGTTCGGTTAAACTTAATGTAGCTGTTAAATGCAGACTAAAATACACTGTTATTCATATTATTGTTACTTAGATATTAAAAGTGTAGACTTTGTGTGTTTCGCTCATGTTTCTTAGTGATTGTTTAAAGCATAAAAGTTATTATTAGTGTCAGTGTTCACCTAGGGCCGCTTTAGTTTATTTGCACAATACTATTCCAATCAGATTTTTTTAACAGTGAATACGCTTTTTTACTATTATTATTTACGATATGTTAAACATATATCATATTAAGCCGCTATGGTTTATGCCAAACAGATTTTGTCGATAAAAACTTATATAGCCGACAAAACGGACGGCAACCGGTTTAGTAGTGTACATTGTAAACTACACCGACGTATTATTTCCATATTAATTATTATTTATATAATAATTGACTGTTTTTTATGTTAGTGTTTTTGTTTTTAATGCTAAAATATTTGTGACCATGCTTTGAGAGAGAACTGAGTTGATCAGGTCGATTTTATGACACGATCTGACAAGATCTAAGTGAAACTAGCAAATTTTATTTCATTTTGGTAAAATATTTAATAATTATAACTACCATAAACAGCTTGGTGATTTTATGGTAAGATTGCTTGTTAATTATGTCGTTTCACATTATAATTTATTGTTTCCTATGCATTTAATTCGCGTGTACGCTTGTGTGTGTATATTTCTGATATAATAAAATTTTTTAATCAAAATTTATTATATGATTAAAACACCTTATTCAATGGAAACAAAAATCTTTTAAATATCATAAAATATATTATTACTTTTATATAACCACAGGGTTATCATTTTTGCCTCAAAAGAAACCGTTATACGTTATATTTATAAAAAAAAAACACTTTTCCGGGTTTCTCGAATTTCGCCATATGAATCTATCTAGAGAATTATTATGATTCGTACTTGTAGAAAAGGCTATTTTATGGGCTTCAGTTAGTACCTTAATTTTATCAATAGAACCAAATTAAGTTTTTATAAAAAGAAAACCAATTCTTCGTTTTAATTAGACATTATTAAAATCTTTGTAAAATATTATAAAGGAAAGAATTATCTCGGTTATTTATAAATTGATTTTTAAAGTTAGTATTAATTTTGTAAAATTACAATCTAGAGAATTTTATGTTTACTCTATCAGTTTATACAAAATCGAGATACATAAAAATGTGGAAACATATATGATATAAAAAATGTTATATAACGTTGTTACAAAACCGTAAAACTAAGATAAATATGTGACCTTTGTAGTCGAGCTTGAATCATTTTCGGCTTGTGGGATCAGGTTTGGATCATTTTCGGTCTTAGAAATAACTATATTGTTTATAATGCATCGTATAAGTCTGTAGCTTTCGGCTGTATGTTACTTTTATAGCTATGAGGACAATAGTCTAGTGATCCAGATAATTAAGATTTGTTTTTATGGGGTTTTTAACTATATAGTAAATTTTGAAGAGAAAAAGTTTTTTATTATTCTCATATAAAAATTTCTTGAAAAATAACGAGAAATTTACATAAAACACTTTATTAAGCTGTGATAGTTAGGTAAAACCGTACAGTTAAAGCCATAAAAGTAATTTGACGTTTTTATGTTATTTTTAAATTAAATTCATAAAATGAAGAAGATATGTACACTATTCTGCTAATATGTTTCGTTTAATTACACAGCTTATTGTAAGCAGGAGAATTTTTAACAAACAGTCTATTTTATGAAAATGAATAAGTCCAACGAAAGTAAGAAGTTTAATTAAATGACATTCTTTCAGCTACGATGCAAATCAGAGACTTACTCTAGTTTTATTGCATCGAGATTTCTTATTTTGTGCCTACTTTAGTTATTTTTTTTTATTATCTTGGTCTTTAAAATACCAGATAATACTATTGAATAATCAATAGCGTAATGTTCCGTATTAATTGACGACATAAAGGGCGAAGGAAATTAATTAAATTATTAGGTATTTACTAGGCGTTTATATTATGTGATAGCGTCTTTTAAGGTAAATTATTAATTAGTTTTGTCCTTAAATACTCGTTTAATTCATAAAATATAGAGGATTAACTAGACTTGACTTGTTAAACTAATTCAAAACAAATATAATGATTTGCATATAAATCGCATTTTTGTTTACTTATACGAATATAAAATGAATTTTTTTTTATTAAATATGAAGAATATAACATTTTTTTTTTTTTTTTTTTTTGAGAAACTTATGTCTATGTTCTTTTCAATTAACCATGTTACCAATTAATTATATATCATTCCATTTATTACTTAATTCTAGAATAACATAAAGAAGAAAAGGCCCTACATATTTTATGTCTGGGAAAAATAATTCATTGAAACACGAAGAAAAATGATTCTTTATAGTTTTTACTAAAGTTAAATCAGTTTCTTTTTGAATCCAAATTCAATTTGATTTATTAATAAATTGAAATTCATTCTGATATATTTTGCAGTAGATGTTTTGTTCTGTATAAACATACTACAATCAAACGAATTATTTTTTAACTTTATTTGCCCAATTATGTTAAGCGAAGAAGCAAAGGTTAGTGTTTCCATTGTTTGCAAAAGAATAAAACATTAAATTGGTTCTTCTTGAAAGCCAAACGTTGTTCATAAAAATATTCAATACGTAATTAAAAAAAATATTCAAACTAAAATGTAAAAATTGAATTTCTAAACTACAAAGAAATTTATCAATGCTAATTAATAGCTAGTATATGTATTCCGTTTTGATTATTTAAGATTTTTAATTAGAAGTTTACGCTATATTTTCTTAAATTAGTTTGCATACGCATACTAAAAACACCACGGGAAGTCTAGCAAACTTCGGGCTCGATAAACTAAATAAAGCACTTTATTGGTTTATGTAAAACTGTTTTATAGAAGTAAATACGTATTAAACATTGCAGTTTATTATTGTTTTCCTCTTGATCCTTCCGGCTCAGTGTTTATCTCATATATTTTTTTAATATTTTTTCCTTTTCACATTAATTCGGTCGATTTCACTGGTTTAATACTGTATAATGATGTGATTTAAACGATTTTGCCTTTTATCCCTACAAGAATTCGGTAAAAACGCCTTCGCTGATTCTGTTAATATGACATTTACGGTATATTATACGACCTAATCGATTTGGTCTACAGGAATTAAGAGAAATATACTTCAACGGCTCTTGCGGAGCGTCTGTCGATTTATTATATTATAAAACATTCAACAGTATGTACATAAAACAGTAAATCGTATATTGGCGGATTTATCGCCAAAGAAATGTAATCCAAAATGTATCTTATGAACTAACCACATATTTTATTGAATGACTATTCTTTATAGGTTTATTTATTTAAAATGCAGTTTAAAAAAATATCGACTATATTATGAAAAATATCAGCTATAATAAACTGAATGAATACCTTATAGTTAAGATACGGACACGTAATGAGAATTACTCGCCAAGTGGCTGCAGTTAATTGTCACTGGCACCGCCTTTTCTCCCACCTATGTTTATTCAATATACTAGTGTAACTACGCTTACCAGTTTCTAAAGACAGTGGGTTCAGATAATTATCATTTCCGACAACGCCTGAATCTTCTTCATTCCAGAATTTAATTTAATGACCGTAAAATGTAAATAACATTAAACAAGACGAATGGAATTTTTTAATAACTTATACTTCTTTTTTTGCAAATTTTTGTCACAAAAAAACTTATAGATTTTGTGCTTATGGGGTTTTAAGACAAAAACGTTTTAGAATTTATGTAATACATCGAATAATGCGAAATAAATAGTTTATTATAAAATGTTGGAGAATATATTACCTGTATTAAGCTTTTAAATAATAATGCCGTTAATA